TAACGATAACATTAGTTTAAGTCGACTCTTTTTTTGAGTCGAAAAGATCCATTTTAACACAATCTCTCTCCTATTGTGTGTTGCAAAATTGGGATATTTCAAGCGGAATTTTTTATATGTTATGCAACTTTCAATTCTCTTCAAAACGGCAAATAAATGCTCGAGAGAAAAAGAGTAATAAGGTCGAAACGAGACTCACATTCTAATAATTTTTTGATGGTTTTTGATAGTTTTTCAATAGAAAAGCAACATTCATAGTGGTTTTCATTGTCACGACAAAATTATAAAACAAAATAGATACAATGTTCTGAATTAACGTCAAAAAACTGTATCGACTCACACATATTTTAGAAAAATTTTTTCTGATCAAAACTGACGTGTGGGAGATCTTGTAGTGTCGAACTTGAAAGTTGAATTCAAGTATTCAACTATCAGTTCAACTATTCAAGTATTGAAGTATTTAACTAATCAGCTAATCAACTATTCAGCTATTCAGCTATTCAACTATTCAAGTATTCAAATACTCAATTAGTCAACTTCTGGGATGCTACCAGAATCATCTAACACCAACAAGTATTGTCTGGGATGCTACAAGAAGTATGTGAGAAGCTTGAGCTACTGTGCAGCACTGAGTAGGAATAATAGTGTACATGGAGATGTGCATGGGTTGCGACTCTTCGAGGGATGCTTCACGGCCCCACGCCGCGACGCTGAAATAAAAGGTGTATTAGGTGGGAAAATGCGCTTCCCCATTGAACATCCGCAGAATACTTGAGAAGTTAAAATTTGAATAGTTGAATACTTGAATTCAAGTTTCAAGTATTATATGTGCGATGAAAAATATGGCTAATCACTATTATCAAATTATGAGTTTTTCTACTTGATATAAAATTTATTTTGTTAATTAAAATTAAAGATAAAAATCTTCCAATCTTAAATGTATTATATCGATAATTTATAGCGCCATCTATAGAAAAAAGTATCTCATGAAATGTGTTAATCAACTAAATTCTATTTTCTTAGATGTTTTTAATGAATAATTAAAACAATTTTGTATTTTAAAATTCAATACAAAATGATGATGACGACAACCAGTTAAATCCATTGATTATCCAATCATTATTGAATTTAAACATGATCTGAAAAACCTTTTCATTTTTTTCTCTTCGTTATGTTCTATAAAAAAAATAATTGAAGAATATTAAATATATCTATTATTTTTTTAGATGTCATCAGCATCATTATTTGAACAATTAACCAGCAGTGTATCACCGTCTATACTGGTTATTGTTTCCGTAGCTATTTTAGCTTTATTATTAATATATACTGTTGCTTGTCGAATTTTCTTTTCATCATCATCAACATCAAAATCGAAAACATCTACTTCAAAACAACATTCAAATAAAGATAGAAAATCAAAGGAATCTAATACAACAAAAAAACAACAAGGTGATATAACATCTACGAATAAGAAAAAAAATAATAAAGTAAAAAAAAATGTACTTCCGGTTTCATCAACATCATCACCAGATACACCATCCGAAGAAAGTGAAAATGAAAAAACAACATTTGTTGCATCATCAAAAAAAGTATTTGTGGTTATTTAAAAGATTTGAATTTTGAAAAATATTTTATATTATTATTTATTTAGTCAACACCACCACCACCAAGCAAAACATCGACAGGCAAAAAAGTAGCTGTTGCTGATGAAAATAATAAGATTAGTGCTTCAACAAATATAATTAAAACATCATCAACTAAACAACAACAACAACAACAACCAGCATCTGTACGCACTGAAAATGTTGAAGGATCAGCTGGAGGACAAAATGGAGATAATAAAAACAAACAATTGAAAACTAATACTACAATTGCATCTAACAAACAAAAATCATCAGGCAAACGTACGTTATGAATTAATAAGCGAAAAAATATATAAAAATTTGAATCCACAGACACCAGTGGCGGATTTAGGGGGAGGGGCGCTTGGGGCGATCGCCCCTTATCGACAGAACAAAAAACCGGTTTTTTCTAGAAAACGCTTAAAATGGAGCTGAAACTACCTTTATAGAGCTTCAAAATATATTTTTTGTGAATAATCGCCTCATATTGAAATATTTCTAGATCCACCGCTGACAGACGCTAGGCAGACACCATCACAGATGACTTACAAGAGAACCTCTTCAGCTACCTCCTCCCAATTTCAATGATTTTTTTGCCTATGAATACCACACAGTGTTCTAATAAAAACTCTAAAAAGATTTGGATTCGTATTGAGATTCGCTTAAGCCATCGAATTCTTAATATGTCTATTTTCTAGAAGTCGCTGTAAGGATGTACTAAAAAAAGTGATGTCTCCAGTAAATAATGACTCCAAGCACCTACAGTTCATTTTTACTGTCTTTGTACTTCTACTGATCTGGTTTTGTAATCAGTAGTAATGATGATGAGTAATATCTGATATAGATTAACTAAAAGAGTCGAACAAGAAACTATTATACAACTAAAATTCTATTGTCATGGCTACAACAGTTTCATCTTCGCTAGATTTAAGTGACCTACAAGCGCCAGCTATTTCATTGCAATTCAACGTTATATAGACAATCTTGGTGAACGATATTATGACGGTGTTATAATTGCTATTGAACACTTAGATAGTTTATCATTTACAGTTGCTAACCGAAAAAAATGACATTTTATAATTTTTTTTGCTTTTTTTTATCTCTTGACTTACGTTTGATCTATACTAGAATGTTAATATTACCCCATACAATAAAGTATGTGCCTTACTATTTAGAATTTTTCGAAAGCACTTTTCGACCTTTTTACAGGCAGTCCTTGTAGGACTCCAGATTTTCGAATTTTGATCTGAAACTTTGCACATGTAGAGAACTCAACTAAACAAGCTTCCATAAAAAAAATTGAGAGATTTCGAATAAATTTTCTTCGAGCTATGAGACTTTCAAGATATAGATAGGTTTCTGTGGATATAGGGTATACAACAAGCATTTTTTTTTTGAAAACTTCATATCTCGAAGAGGCTTTGTTCAAACCTCGCGAATTGTTTCGTGATAGCCAGTCTAGTTAAATTCTCTACGTGCGCAAAGTTTCAGATCAAAATTCGATAGCTTAGTCAAGTCTCAATAGGAATCCAAATCATTTTAGAATTTTTATCAGAACACTATGTAGTATCTATAGGCGAAAACTGATTGAAATCGGAAGCTAGCAGCTAAAGAGATTCTCTCATTAGCAATGTCATCTCGTTCTAATATATGAGTTACTTCCTTATTGCATTTCTTGAGGGTTAAATAAAATGATGATGACGAAATGTGCTATAGAATAAAGCAATCTCCTGCGATTAACACCATCAATTACATCGTGTTTCACATTTTAATCTCGCAAGAATTATGCTAATAGCTTTTTATTCATAGGCGACGGTAATACCAAGGTCAATGCTGGAAATTTAAAGAAAAATGAATCTGTAGCTGTTAATGCAGAGACTAAACGTAACTTGACTGTTGATGGTGAAGCTGGTACTGATCAAGAAGATGAAGGACAATGGCTTACACAAGGCAGTAAACAGGTTTGTTTAAAAGAATTAAATTGAATTATGAATCAAACATTTACATCCATATTAAATTCTTATAATGTTATTGAGTATTTCTTTATTAATACCTGAAAAATCTTGATGAAATAATATAAATAGATCTCAACGATTAGAGAATGACAGAAACACATAAAATTAAAATTATTATATGAGAAATTCGAATAGTCGGAAGTTTTGTCAGCAGGACATCGTTAGAAAGTTTTGTGTTTTTTCTTTTTTTTTTTTGTATTAGGTTAATCATCGTAATCGAAATAAAGGTAAAACTGAATTATTCAATACTAATAATCAAACATTATCAAATCATAATGTTACATCCGAACAACGATCAATCCCAACAATATCAAATAGCAATATTTTATCATCAATAAATAATAATGAATTAAATGTTGAAACAACAACAACAACACCATTAATAAATAATTCAATATCATCAATTGAAAATCTCGAACCAATTGAAATTTGTCAATTATTACCAACAAATGAAAATCTTTATACATCTAATGATAATTGGTGGAAACAAGCATTAAATAAACAACAAACATTTTCTATTGATGATATTGGTGAATGGCCTGAACGTGAACAAGATGAACAATATATTGTTCAAATAAAACGAATTATACCTGTTAAAAAATTAAATGAAAAACAAAATTCTGATGAAGTATAATTATTGAATGAACAAAAAATAACAAAAATGATTTGTAAATTTTAGCAATTAAATTCTAATGAATCAATAAAATCTACAATAATATCTTAGTCAAAAAACGATACTTACAAATATATATCATAAAAATATAATTCAAATTGTTTTGTGTTTTTATTATTTATCTATTGACTTCTTTTTGTTTTTTTTTTCTTTATCTTATTCAAATAATTCTTATTTTATTGAAATGAGGATGGTTTGTATATATCTTTACTGAAAGAGAAATGAAAGATTTAAGTGCACGTAATCTTCGTTATATATATATATATTCTTTGTTCTTAGTTAGAACATTTTTTCTATTTCAAAAATAATTTTACATAGATTATTGTTTGTATTGATTAGATTAAAATAAAACGAAATGTAGAAAAAAGACAATATATATTCTCGTCTGACGATTTGATGATTCTGAATCAATCATTTTTTCTTTTGTTCTATATCTTTTCTCTTACATTATTTCTGTAGTGTTGTTTTTATTTATCTTGTTACCATTCTTGTTTGTCAAAAAACCAAAGGTGAATTTTTTTTGTCTGTACGTGTTTGTCCTTCTTGGGTTTTTTTTTTTATTATTTATTACGTTGAAAAAAAAGAAAAAGTGCTCGTTCTTAATAAGTTATTAATAAAAAAAAAAAAAAAAGAAACTAAATGATTATGTAGTTGATAAAAGATGATTTATTCGATGTTTTTCATTGATCTTTAGTTCAATTTTGAATTAGTTAGAATAATCCATGATAAAAACATAAGAATATTTAGAGTAATTGTTGTTATTCTAGAATGTTAATTTTTTAATATAAATAAGAAAAAAAAATTGTTGGTTTTTTTTTGCTTACTTTGTAAATAGAGCATGAGAATGACTTGTTGGACTTGTTGGACATGTTTGATTATCAATTAATAGAAACATTTGTACACGATGATTTTTTCCATCACAAACGTAAAGATTTCCAAGATTATCAAATGCTAAAGAGTTTGGTACTGATAATTGATTGTCTGCATTGCCTCGACCTATGATTAAAATATCTTAGTTTCCAGACTAAAAGATTATATGTTTATAATATGATATAGAAAAATTTTTTTTTCTCTTTTTTGGCAATATTCTATAAATCCTGCTAATAGAAGAAATTAGAAAGAGAAGAATTGATTAACTAAAGAAAACAAGACTCAGGATAGAAAACCAACTGATATAAAAACGAAAATCACAGTGTTTCTCTAATAATTAAGTTACCTGCTCCACCGGCAATCGTAGTACCAGTCAATTGGTTTGGTAACCAGCGTTGAATACGATTGTTGTCGCTATCAGCAATATAGATTATATCGGATTCTTCATCGACCCATACATAAGATGAACTTGCTAATTTTGAATTATCATCACCTGAAATACCATCTTTTGAACCAGCAATCGTAATACCTTCTTGTGAATTTCTATTCCATTTTTGAATTCGGTTATTCATCATATCAGCGACATACAATGCATCATTTAAACGATTAATATAAATACCTCTAGGAAAATAAAGTTTATCAGCAGTTTGTCCTAATTCATCTGTTCGACCAGCAATAGTTGTTTTAGTATTTGTTGTTGGTGACCATTTAAGTATTGAATGTGTTCCTGATTCTGTCATATAAATATTTTTCTCTTTATCAAGCCATACACCTGTACATTGTTTACATTGATCACCTATTTGTTCACCATTTAAGGCATTTTTTATCCATTTTTCAACACGATTTTCATATTGAAGTGCGACATACATAGTTAATCCATCATCATCAACATAAATAGCAGACATCGAATCTATGTTAGATGCTACAGTAACACCCATACTTGGTGCTGAATTGAGTGAAAACATTTGAATACGTCTATTGTTAGTATCAGCTATATATAATGTATTGGTTTCTCTATGAAGAAACATTCCTTGTGGTAGATAAAGTTGATTAGACGCATTGCCAGGTGAATTTGTACCAATCACTGTAATCCCTGTTGTATTCCATTTTGCACAAGAACTTACATGCACTGCTTGAATTGATAGAAACGAATAATATAAACCAAAAACTTGAATAGAAACAAAGTATTACTCAAAAGTTTATGTACATGTTATATCGTTTTCAAAAACTTACTAATATAGATGAGAATCATTCGAAATAGTTGTGTATTTGTTTTTTGTATATATAATAGAAGACTTGTAAAAATCGATGCTTTTTACACGTCCATATATTTTACATCTGATAAGAGTGTAATATCATCAAGTGATGACACAACCTCTTCTTTTTTTTTTTTTTATTGATAAGAAAATAACTCAATATACAAGTTTTAAAGCAAGCTCTTGATTCAATCATATACAACGCACTAAGAAATAAACTACAGAAGAAATACGACAAAACACAACTAACAGATTTTTGCTTCAAATGATAGACATTGTAAAAAATATACTATAAATAACAATCAAAAACACGATTTCACATCTACAGGGTGTTTCAAAAGTCTGGTCAAAAAAGAAATGTGAATATCTCTTTAACTATTCAAGCGATTTATATGATGTTTTTATAGTTTCATTTCACATAAACTTGTCTCTAATAGATTCCTTATAAATGCAATACACAAGCCTCTCCTTTTTGAAAATACCTGTAAAATCATCATATAAAATTTTGTTTGAAATTTTGTTTTTGTGCATTTTTATTTTCAGCTTAACCCTTTACCTCCCATAGAGGTTCCAGAAGAGCTATTGATGAAACAACCATTGGAATAGAGTATTGGTGCCTCCAATATGCTAAAATTACGGTCAGATCGATCAAACGCACACTTGAGTTTTAGGGTAGTTTGTTGAGGGGGAGTAGGGGGATCGATTTGGAAAAAATTTCGTGAACTTTCCATAATACCGACGGAGTTCGGCCAAAAAACGTCGTAGAGAGCTCGTGGACGTCTTATTTTGTAGAGAATTGTTCACTCTATAATTTTACGTCGTTTAAACAAAACTTTATTTTCGGATTGTAGACGGCCAAAAGCTAAGGGTTGATTTTCTGGAAGTCGTTCAGTGACCATTCGATGCTTTACCACATCTTGCCTACCCAATGCTTTTCAAATTTTTGAAACTTATATAATCTACTAGTGGACACTTTCTTTGATGTAAATCACGCAACACGTCGCCAAGATATATATTGCATAGAGGTAGAAAAAGAATTTTACCAAGAAAATTCCATTTTTTACTTTTTTTGAAAATCATCGATTTTATAAGTTGTATATCTCGGCACTAACACAGCGAAAAAAATCTTTTTTTTTACTAGTCGATAGCTCATGAAGTTTACTACAAATAGTGCTCTTAGAGGTTTTGAATTCTGTGCTTCCTTTATTTTCTGCAATCGTTCTACAAATGGTCATTCCAGTGACCAAGGGGGGGTAAAGGGTTAACGAGATCTTTAACAAGCATCATGGACATGTGAAACTATTGAAATTATTATACAACCTTGAAAAGACAATGTTACTTGTGTGATGTTGGAAAATCGAATGTTTGGACAGTTTTTTTTTTGCAGTAACATTATCAATTGAGAAAAATATTTGACTATATTTTAAGCATTTTTTTTTTGGTCCAGAAGTAAGAAGATTATGTTAGATGCACTTCATATTATTTTCCAAGAGGTTATTGATTTCAATAGGCATTACGATCAGCTGAACATATGCAGCTCAACTTTTTTTTTTTATAGGAATATGTAGAAAATAATTTTTTGTAAGATATTTCTCAAAGATCTACTTCACTTGAAAATGAAAATCCATAATAAGATCAAAAAGATTTCAAACTAAGTTTTACATGATGGTTTTACAGATATTTTCAAAAATGATAGGTTTGTATGTTGCATTCATAAATGATCTATTAGAGAGGCTAGACTTTTGAAACACTTTTTATTCTACATTTGAATAATATTCAATACTTCTATAGATCGGCGACCATGCGCGATACCAATACTCTTTGATGTGTCCTATCCATTAGATCAATTAGTGTATAGAGTGTTGTCGATCGGGATCTACAAAAATTAGTCGATACCAAAAATAGTGGAGAAATTTATAATAAAAGAACAAAAGCTTTCAGCTATATGAAAAATAAAAGAATATCAGTTTAGAAATCATCTGTAGTCCATCTAATTTTATCGGTAGTGCCATGTACAAGTAAAGTGGACGCTGACTATTTCCCAGAACATTTTTAAATGGCAAGAAAAGAAAAAATAAAGGGTGAGTGTGGATTTTGTTATAGATCTTCTCGCATCCCTTTCCCGCATACTCACAATCACACCGTAAAAATGCTTTTTTTCTTAGCTTCATCCCCACAAACTTGAAACCTTCGCGCGACTTCTGCTCGCTCGGGAGAAAAAACTAATATTCAACCGTTATGATGTGATGTTATTCATTATTTGCCTTCCAATGTTTTGGATATCAATTCACTAAAAACAATAAAATATCGATCTTTTCGACATAACATTCAATTTCTTTCTCACTAATTACATGCAAAAGAAAATTGCGCCCTCTATAAATGCTTGCTACGGTTAGTACATTTTATTATACCATTCGTATGTTATCCAACTATTCAACATGCATCAACGCTATGATCTATTAGTTAATTCAATAAACCGAAATTTGATCATTTTTTTAATTTAAACATAGTCACTACAGTTGTCCATGTGATTCATATACAGATAGTATTGCCTGAAGTTAAATTGAATATATAAATCTTTAAACTTTTATACAGATAATGAAAAGTATTCACTTTTTTTTTTATTTAAATATATTGTTTTTTCAGAAATTTATTATTTTTTTCTTAAAATATTAAAAGTTCATTATGGTTGATAGAGGTAGCACTGGAACAAAACAACATTCATCTGCTATTAACAAATCATTTAATGATCAAAATCAGACTAAAGTGAGTTCAATTTCGTATTCATCTCTATTTTCTTTTTATAAATAATTTTTTGTTATTTCATAAAGATTGTTCTTCGTCGATTACCTCCTACACTTACAAGTGAACTATTTCTTGAAATAGTTTCTCCTCTTCCCGATCATGATTATTATCGTTTTTGTAAAGCTGATATGAGGTATTTTATTTTAATTAACATCTTCATTTAATAACTATTTCTTCTAGTTTTGGTCAACAATATGCTTTTTCTCGTGCTTATCTTGATATTCCTAATCGACAAGATTTAATTGTATTTACAGAAAAATTTCAAGGTTATGTTTTTCTTGATAAAAATGGTAATTTTATTTTCATTTAATCATTTTCATTATTAATTTTGATTTAATATAGGAAATGAATATATTTGTTCAGTTGAATATGCACCTAATCAAAGTCGACCTAAATCAGAACAACAATTACGTAAAGATCCTAAAGTTAATTCAATTGAACAAGGTAAATAACGAATATTTTCAGGAGAAATTGCATGAAATTTCAGTGAATTTTTCTCTCTCTTTTTAATCTTAAAAAAAAATTTCCTCCTAATGCCTAAAGATAGAGTATTTCAAGTTCTACGAAGTTATCAACTTTGTTTTTCATATAACTTTTATTGGTGAAAAATGAAGCAGAAGAACACATATTTACGAGGTAACTACCACAACTGACACTCACTGTTGAAGTTTATATTGGATCCACAGACAAGTCTCAGTGAGAATATGAAAAGCCTAAAAAAGTTTCTCCCTATGGGTCTTCGCCCGCCGATTTATGACCCATTTTTAGATACTCCTTGGAAGAGTGAATAACGAAGTTTTGATTCAGAACTGAAACTTTCAGGATATTCTAAGAGTCATTAGACTTATTCATAGGGAAAATTTTGGATCAAAACTCCCCCCTATTCAGTCTTTCAGACAGTACCTAAAAATGAATAAAAAATCCAATAAATCGGTCATAACTCAGCGCCAAAGGCCAATGCGGACGAATTCTTTTAGGCTTTTTTTTATTTTCACTGAGTTTTTGACAGAAAATAAGTCATGTCCACTGTGAAATGTAAATATTTTCTCAGTTCTATTTAGTATTTATATCCTTTTGTTCAGAATTTAATTACTATATCGGATTGCATAATAATAAGTCTTTCATAGAGCAAATCTGACTATTGAAAACATGATTTTCCAAAGTGTACTCAAAATTACCAATAGTTGTCAATTTCAAGTCTTTTTCTTAATTGTTGTTTTTATTTAGATCCTGAATATCAAACATTTGTAACTAATATGAATGCACCTCTAAGTGCTACAGAAGCATTACCTAACGCTGAAACAATGCTTGAAGAAATTGAAAAGAAACAACGTGATCAAGGTAAAAACTATATGTGAAACAACAATAATAATAATTATTATTATTATTAATTTTTATAATAATAGATAGCAAGAATAAATCAGGTGCTACTACCACACCTTTACTTGAATTTCTAAAACGAAAACGTGAAGAACGAAAACAGGTTTGAAAGAATGTTTATTTTTCTTTTTATTATTTACTATACGATTTTTATTTAATGAAGGAAAAATTAATTCGTATTCAACAAGCACAACAACAACAACAACGTCGTAGTAATAAACAATCATCTAGAAATACTGCATCAAATACGCATGATGATTCAAGACCATCAAGTGGACGAGTATGAACAATTATTTTTCTTTATAAATAATATTTTCATTTGGTTTAGAATATGAATGATGATGATTATAATGCTTCATCACGTTATGGAGGTGGAGATAGATCAAAGTAAAAATTTTTCTTTAAAAATTATTCGAGTTTAAAAAAAAAAAGATTTTCTTATCTAGTCGTCAACAACGTGGTTATGATAAATCTGATTATCGAACAGGAAATCATGAACAGGTAATGAAATAATAGATAAAAGTCTCCGTTCCAGCCGATCTCGGTCATTGTATCTGTTAAATGTTTAAAACTTTGCGTACACATACTTCACTAAGAATGTAGATCATCGGTGTTGTGGCGTCGTTACTGCTCAATTATAAAGAGAGTTATGATGGACGGAATCTACGTATTTTTTGTTCTGAGTATTATAACCTAAAAAAGACTGTCTATAAAGTTTTGCACTGTTTCTTACTAAAACTATGACTAATTCTTAATATTTTTACATGTACCTGAAGTCTTATCTGCAGTCTTTCTTCATTCAAAAGATATG